ACACGGAGTTTTTTCATAAAAACCTAAGACTCTTCACACTTCATATTTCAAATTAGGTGGTTGTGAACATGTTATTGACTGCACTCGAAGTTTCCAAAAAAAAAATTCTCAAACTTTGTGATACATTCTAATCCATCAAATTTGAGATATATCATTACGAGTAACTGTGACCTCCTTGTGTGAAAGATAAATGGTACAATCCCTCGATTATTTTGTGGTACTACTATAACCCTAATGAGCAATTACATAAATTATAGTGGTCAGCAACTGGATGAGGACTTGTTAATGTCCCATGAACCTTTGCAGTAGTCGGGGTGCTTGATACCAAATTAGCATCTGTGCCTAAGGTTGTGAACTCCAAGATGTGAATAACCCTAAAAAATAGGGTGCAGGTCATTGGAAAAGGCATAGGCATTTGCTTGAGAAGTGTGCCCCTTAGGCATTGGTTCCATATTGTGACCATTTCTAAGACTCCTGTCGATGGATCCAAGTAAGTGATAATTTGTTTTCAAAAACTTCAAATTCTCTTATCATTCTCTAGTGTCTATACTTTTAGAAGATGAAAAGTCTATGGTACATTATTCCTACGTTCTTGTGCACTTCCTTTTACAAAAATTTGACTTCAAGACGGATTTAAGATCTGAAACATATTTTTAAGATGCATTTTTAGTTTGAGCCTATGATTTTCCATCTCAAAAAACAATGCATCTGTGATGACCTGCAAAGAATTAGAGGGGAAATAAAACAAAAAGTTTGGTTTCTAAAGTTAAAAATCTTTTTTTTTTTTTTATATTCTTGAATATAATAGTCGAGATTATCAACCTGTTAAATTTTTAGAAAATCTATCACAATGATAATTTTATGAAAAAAGAGCACATTGACTTTCACGTGACACACCAAATACCCATCCTTTACTTTGTAGCAAATGATACAATAGTGAGATTATCACATGTTTTCTTTTTCTTTTAATGCTGGATTCTCATTTCTTTTCTTTTTTTAACATTAACGAAGAATTTCAATTAATAAAAAAGAATTGCAGGTGATAAAAACATAAATTCACTAGAAGTGACCGCCAACGAAGATTGTTCGACTCCTTCCATAGCTAAAGAATCCGCTTCCATACTGGCCTCCAACATTTAGAGTATGTAGAATGTCTCATATCTCATGAATGATTGAAGTAAGCCTCCCGGGTATATTTGTTTCGTCTTTACTCCAAATAATATTTGTGGAATTACCTTCTATAATCTTATCCCCCTCAAATCTTAAAAGAAGTTTTATCCAATCCGAAAGACCTCTAGCTTTAGCTTCATTTACTGTAGTGAAACCTCATGGACCTGAATATGAACACACAATGATAGCTTCTCATTTCTATTTGTATGAGCGCTAGAGACTGCTATAACCACAAGCCTTCTCAACATAAATTTCTATCCAAGGTTTCATATAAATTGGGAGAACCAGTGTTTTAAAGGCCCATTATCCATCATTAATTGCCTGTTCGCATCAAGAACTGACTTAGACTGCAATTGGTTCTCGGAAGGTATCGTTACCGGCTCGGTTGCCTCTTAAAATCATTTTTTTTTTCCAGATACTTCTAAATTCAATAATAAACCTCTATTTTAGTTATTTTTTATTTTTGAATTTTTACTTGATTACCAATTTGGACTAATATAGACCGATCCAGACTGGGCATCCTCATTATTTAGCATAAATATGTGAGAAGGGTGATCCAATCTACCGATCTGGATTTTAAAACTAAACCAAGGCGTAAATTTCGAAAATTATTTGAGGAGCCAATGAGAATTATTGATTGGATAAAAATTACAAAGCTAGGGTACACCAATTTGGATAAACATTACACGTGGCTGACGCCAACATGCCTCCTTTGGACTGAAAAAAGCACTCCATTTGACCAACCCTAGTTTTGACCACCTTGAAGAGAAACTGCCCCTTGGAGTAGAGACAAAAAGGACACTCACCCCCCTTCTTTCTCTCCAACCGAAGGACATTTATTCTCTCTCTAAGTCAATTTATCTCTCTCTTCTCCCCCCAAGATAATATACTCCTCCCTTCAAGTCACTTCCTAATGACTAAATGGACTATGTGGAAGACAATTAAAATTTCTCTTCTTTCTCTCTATATCACATGTTATCTCTCTTCTTTCTCTATCCATTGCAATTACACTCTCCCTACCCAAATAGTGTTATTCACTTTTGTGGTTTCATGATTGAGTATGGTACACTTCTAACGCTCTTTCAAAATTGGGTGCGTTTTGTATAGAGTCCACGCTCTAAACGATCGTATTTGAACCCACCTTCAAATAGTATCATGAAATATAGTTTTAATATTAGAAATTTTTATAATAGCCTTAAAATATATTTTTATTTTTAATTATACAATTTAAAACTTTAAAAAATAGTGTAGATTGAGTAGATCTATGAAAAGTTGAAAATCTTGAAAATTGACGGTCAAAATATGTGATACAAGATGTACTATTGTCAAAACTTGACATCCATTTTTTTTTCATGTCCATGCATCTTGATGTCGAGATGATCAATTTGATGTTATTTGGGTATCAAAACAACTTCATCTAGTGAAATTTTTGAGGTAAACTCTAATTTGATTGTTTAGAGCCTAGGCTCTATACAAACTTTTCCCTTCAAAATTTGAACTTCAGTTATAGATATTGGGTTCACTTCATGGTTGCAGCCTCAATGCATTAATTATTAGTATATACAAAATATACAATAATATCAAAAACAGGGATTGAAACCCCATGCAACATCGCTAAAGGCCTAAATAAATTATCAATTGCCATTGAGGGTATGTTTTAAATTTTTACGTGAATCTTGGGTCCTCAAAAAATATTAAAAATTTTTGAATTTCCCTATTAGTATTGGGAAGCTTGTACAATTAAGGGTACTTTAATAACTTTTACTCACCGAAAGGTTTTAACGGGATGATAATTGAGGGAAAAATTATCAAAGTACCCCCAACTATTCTGGGTTCCCAACAGTGAATAAGGGTAATTTAAATTTTTTTTAACTTGTTTAGGATGCACTTGATTGATATAAAAATTTAAAAGTATGCCTTCATATGTAATTTGTAATTTTTGACTCCTTTAATGACATTTTAAGATATTTCAACCTTCTAAATTATTACTCAACTATGCACCCACAAATTATCACAAATATGAAAGCTGTATGGTACATTATTGGCACCTCAACATGCTAAAACATAGAAATCTTAATTTTGTACGGTATCAATTGTCCGTAGGCCAAATTCCTCTTTGAAAGCCAAAAAGTTAGAACCTCATAAATGGCTTAAAATTCTGAATTTTTTGGTTTTGTTAAGTGTGTAGCCTTATCTGCACAGCAAAAAGTTGACCAAAATTTACAAAATTTTACTTTCAAGATGCTATCGATTGCTATCCTAATTAAGATAGTACGGGGCAAACCCATATTATTGCAATAAGTTCATTTTATTATAGACCCTTTTTGAGAAAATCATTTTAAAATCAAATCACCACCAACTCTAATCAATAAGTATTGATACACTTCTAATTGGAAAAAGACACTAATGATGATGATGACAACGACATATTGACACACTTCTTTCAATTTTTTTGACAAAACTAGATTTCATATCTTATTATAGTGAGTAAAACCATAGTAATATCCAAGCCCATTGGCCGAGTTGATTAGGATTGGAGTATCACCCAATTCACCATATTTTTTATATTTATTTTCTATTGTATTCTTACGACGATCAAGTCGGTAAATGCCCGGTTGAGATCCCTTTGTTCCACCATTCAGTTTCAAATTCCATTATTTATTATTATTATTATTTTCTTCTGAAAAATTCATTTGTAAGAGTCGAACTAGAGATAAAACATTGGTTGGCGTCAACTACTATCCACTCAAGTCTAAACCCGATTCCTCAAATCCCAATTTTTCAAACACTGAATCAGACTCTAAACATTATTAGCATCCCCTTTCAGTAGGAAAATTGCTTCTCTTATGAATTATGATTGCATAAGAATCTAGTTAAAAAAAAAAAACCAATGATGACACCAATTTGGCTCTCTCATGCCCCCAAAAGAAAAGAAAAATGATGACACCAATATAACTCTGTCCTATGGCACGACAGGGACTGATTTTCGGGTCTCTTCCTATGGCACGACAGGGACTGATTTTCGGGTCTCTTCCTATGGCACGACAGGGACTGATTTTCGGGTCTCTTTTGTGGATGGTAGGGCCTCTAATTTGGCACTCTTCCTAACCCAGTCCTGAACTCATTTATATTCTCTCTCAAGCAAGCCTCATTTGGGTCTCTCTACCTCTCTTTCCAACTAAATCTCTTTCCAAATGAGTTTTATAGTAAAACAAGTTATTTGGATTGTCTATTTTAGTGGTTTTTATATATTTATAGATTTACTTATATTGTTTATTAAATTTTAAATAAAAATTAATTACATAAAGCTGCAATCCTATCAAAATAAATAACGCCCGACTTCATAACTAATGGGAAATTGCAATTCAATTCAAGCATTGGAAAAGGCTCGAACATTATGGGTGTAAAAAATAACTAGGATTTTAAGCTCTAAAAATAATATATACTGAAACGAATTATCCATACGGTCTATTTTACCCTAAAAATACATGTCCACTTATCAGCAAGATTTGCACTATTTTTTGAGTTTAAAATTTTATAGCTAGTGTTATAAATTGATTTTAAAGCCTTCATGAAAATTTATGTTGTCGAAAGTGTTTTCCGGCAAGAATTTATTTGTTTCCATAAGGCCTAGGCCTTATAAAAACTTCATCCATTTTTTATTTTATAGATAAGGTTGAAAGTGAACTTTCAAGCTAGATTTCGGACATGAAAACTACATCTTGAGCGAGCAAATTTAGACATGTGGATTACCAGAATGCATCTTATACAAACCTCACCCAATTTCAAATAAACAAGAGATGAGATGAGGCAGTAATAATAAAGAAAAAAGAATGAAAAAGAAAGATACAACTTCGTTAAATAAAACTGACATCAGGTTTACAAATACTATAAATAAACCCTCCATAAACCAGACAAAATTGGCCGCTATGAAACGAAGCTGACGGTACACACACCAAGCTGCTTCATACACCAGCGACTCATAGCAAGCCTGGAAGGTACTACATAGTTTGTGTATGGAACTCCTAACAACGGGGGTTGCGCATGAAAAGAGAAACGATAACTGCCACAATTCCCTGCAATTTCTCTGCAACTCCGATGGTGGCGGTAAAATCATGAAACCAAAAATATCTCATAAATATCGAATTTAAATAAGAAAAATAAAACGAGGTCGAGGAAGAGGAAGTAATGGCTATGGCGATATTAGGGTTTAAGAAAAGGGGGCTCTGTGAGGGTGACCCTTCCTCCTCCTCAGAAAAGGAGCGAAGCTCCTCTTAAGAAAGCCTCTCTTTTTAGAGAGGTCTGGCGTTTCGGCGGAGCTCGCTGTATTTTGATCGACGACGCCTCCATCTTCTTCAGCTGAACCGGAGTGGTTTCCGGCCATGGCGGGATCTTCGAGCACTGAACTAGGGTTACTGTGATCCTCTGGTCCATCCATCCTTAAACCCTCGAACTGAGCAAATGCGAAATGAATGTCTCTGTACTTGTAAAGAACGCTCGATAAGTCCTCTCCTCGATGGACCAGAAAATCGACCTGCAAATTTTTTCCGTAAATAGAAAAATCAATGGCTGCTCCGATGCTTTTCAGGGAAAATTAGGGTTTCGTTTTCCATTTCTGGAAATTAGGGTTCGTACGACTCAGACCTTGCAGGAGAGAGAGCAGAAGCTGTAAGGGTCTTGCAGCATGCGATCACAGGAGAGACAGATGTTATTTGAGCCCTTCGATGCCCTAGTTTGTGGCCTCCGATTCAGAAATATGACCTTTGCGTTGTTAATCGTGTACGGCTAAAAAAAAAACCACAATAAAACAGATATACTTAATGGTTTCTGGAATTTATGCTCTTTAAACCAAAAACTGTTAAGCGTTTTTAATCGTGTCTTCTACCTCTTTTCCTACTTCCTGAACCAGAACAATGAACAGAAAACAGTGGTTTTTTCAGGTTAGGAAAAAAAAAAACTATTATTTTTTTGCGGTTTCTTCTGGTTAAAAACAAGAAACTGTCTTAACTTTTCTTGTTTTTATCGACTTGTGACTTTGAATTGATGAGCTCTCTGCAACTCTTTTAACACTGTTTGTCTCTGTTCATTTGTGCTATTCGAGAAGTCCTTCCTCTGAGAAGAAAAAGAAGGAAAAAAAAAAGAGAATTAATTGTGCCTTTCTCGAAAAAAGGCTTCTCTTTTTTACACACAGTTTTCACCCATGAGTTTTTTGCTAATTCAGGAAACCTTTTTTGAAACCCTTTTGCCCCGGGTATTTTTGGAGAATCGGTCGTCAAACAAAGACTTGCCTGTGAATTTTTTACCACTTTTAGAAACTTTCTGCAAAGCTTTTCCTTTATTATGGAAGTTCTCCATCGCTTCTTTCTGGTTTTTTTTTTTTTTAAATCTCAATTAACATTGTTCATCTTATTTTCTTCCAAATCTTTTCTTTTTCTCCTTTTTAAAATCCAAATTCGTATTGTTCATCTTATTTTCTTGCATATTTTATATATTGCAGTAGCTCTTCTGCTAAAATTTATCTGTAGATAAAAGAAACCTATTTTTTTTTCTGTATTTTTGTTACTAAGCAACTCTCACGGAGTAAATGTTCGGCTAAAATTTAGCATTTTTTTTAAGAAAAAATTGTAGAAAAATTACCTGTACACGAGAGCAGTCAATGAGCTTCTCCAAATCATCGAGTCGAACAACATCATGATACACATATCTTCTAACCTGTTTTTATTTTTCACACCAAAATTTCTATATGTTTAGGAAAATTGAATAAGGACATCAAGAAGAGTTATACGGACAACTATTTTTACCTTTTACACCAGAAAATTGAATAAGGAAATCAAGAAACTTTATACCGATTTTAATTTTTCAGACAAAAATTTCTTTATATTCAGGGAAATTCAATAAAGAAATCAAGAAACATGAGTACTAACGCTAGTAAACTTCGAATTAATACTTAAATTTCTTTTGAATGTTTCCATTTCAGGAAATGAAGAAGAAGAAAGTCCAATTTTTTTTTTTTTTTAAGTAATAGGAAAGTGCAAATTAAAACAATTAACATGGGAAATTCTAATTACATGTAAATGAAAAAGAGAGTGAATTTGGTTACCAGTAAAAATACGGAGAGAGAGAATTTGAAAATATGGAGAGAGAATTTGAAGAATGAGAAAGAAACATAAATGAAAAATAAAGAGAAATTGTAGAGTGAGAAAGACAGAAACATTAACTAAAAAGAGAATTGGGTTACCTGTAAAAATCGGAGCGGTGGATGCGACGACAGAAACATGAATGAAGAAGAATAGAATTGGGTTACCTGTAAAAATGGGTGCGGCGGATGCGATGAGATACAGTGCGTACACAGGCTAACACAGCATTCCAAACAAAAAACATTCTTCTCATTCTTCTTTCTGGATTCATGAAACGCACACGGTGTGAAGAAACTCCCTTTCACCAACCCATCGAGCCATGGCGGTGGAGCCAAAACTTCATCCTCAATCTCTTCTTCCTCTTCTCTAACCATCTCTCCTCCCTCTAAAAAGCCCCCAATTCACTCTGATTGTTTTCTCTCCTCTTTCTTTCTCTAAAACTTCAAAACCAGCACCCAATTCACTCTGATTTTCTACTGAATTTCATCGGGTCAATTATCTACTCTCTCTCTCTCTAAAAGCCATTAACTTTCTTCTCTCTATAACGATACAAAAGAGACAGTAGTCCATCCTCCTCAAATTATTATAAGAGAGGAGAGAGAGAGAGACAAGTCCGGTAACGGGAGAGAGAGAAATGAGGAGAGAGAAAGAGAGGAGCGACAAATTTGCAGAGGATTCGGGTTGCCTTTATGGCGGGAACACCCCCCACTCTCGTACCTTTCTCTGAACCCACGACCCCAACCCCCAATCTATTAATATTTTATTACTAATTACATGAAATTCTTCCTTTAAATCAATTAATAAAACTAACCAGGTTAAATTACCTAAACTACCCTTTCCTTTACATTTCATTCTATAGAAATGGAAACACCCTTTTTTCCTTGTGAAAGTTCATTATGAAGAAGGTATTTTTATTTGAAAAAAATGTGTATGAGATTGAGGTTTTCAACCATCAAATTAAATTATGGTGCACCTCAAATTTCATTAGACATTTTGATGATGAGAACCCTCAAATTTAATTTTTTGGCCTCGAGATGTATAGACTTGAAAAAAAATAAATTTCAAATATGGAGTGGACCTTTTAATGTATTATTTGGGCTATCAATTTTCAATATTTTTCGAGTGTTTGTAGCTATATTCGATTTACATTATTTTTAAGCTTTAAATTTTATAATTAAAAATAAAAATGAATTTCATGCAATTATAAAGATTTTTTCTATTGAAAAATCATCTTTAAACACTATTTAGAAGTACTCCTTACTTTACTCTTATTGTTTAGAGCAATGATTTAAAAAACAGATCGATGGCATAGATTGGGCGTCCCAGAAACAAGTCTGAATTGATGAATCGGTGGTTGGGATCGCTATTTTACTGTAAAGAATCATCGTTTTATTGTGCAGAACCGTCGATTCCTTATAGACTCAGCGTTTTTCTATATATACGCAGAGCCAGAATGGAGTGATTAATTCGCAGGTTGGATGGAGCGTTTCCATACCAACCCAGCACTTTTTAAATCGTTGTTTTAGAGCCTCAACTTTATACTAACCACACATTTTTTATTTAGAAAGTTGACGGTATTATAATCATGTTGTTAAGAAAAATTGTCTCATGAGTCAATGGACACATTTCTATATTTGCATCCCTCGAAGTATAAAGCATGCAAAAATTATTTATCGAGTCACGAGAAGCATTTCTACATTTGGATCCCTCGAGATATCAAGCATATATTTTAAAGATGGATGCAAATAGACGGTCCAACTAAAAACTGTTAAAAGTCGGACTAAATTTTTTTTATAAAATTATTATTATTAATTTTTAAAATTATTTAGTTTTCATGTTCACTATAGAGATTATATGTTCTTAAAAATTAAGTAATAAAAAATTTATCTCAAAAATAGATTTTGTTTTTAAGAGGGACTCATTTCTAGATGGACACGTTGAGAAACCGGGTCCTTTAGTTAAAAGCTGGGGGTTTTGTGGTCATTTGGTATTTTTGGTCATTTTCTGTGTTTATTTTCTGTCTTCTTGTGGTTTCGTGACAGAGGGTTTGCGAGAACATGCAGCTGTCCTCCTCGTCTCTCTCTCTCTCTAAATTGCACCCGTCCTCACTCTCTCTCTACCCCTTCGTTCTCTGGTGCCCTCACTTTCTCTCTCTACACATGACACTCCCTCCTCTCGCTCTACATTACTCTTTCTCTCTCTTCTGTCTTCTGTCACCTCTTTCTCCTCTCCATCTCGACTCTCAAAACCTCCTTTCTCTCTCTCTCTCTCTCTCTTTGTTAGTGGGTGATGGATGCATAAATCGAAAAACTCCTGTCGTCTCGCATGCACGGTTCCCAAACGACTGCCAACTTTAGGGGCACCCACCCTGCTAATTTTGACCGCGCCGCTAATTTGGCAGGCCTTCCTTATCACCGACTATACACCACACCCCTCACTTTCCTGCTCCCCATTACATGCGCCCAAGGGTGGCTCATAGGGGTCGCACCCCGACCCGGATTATTGGACTTAGACCAGGACCTGGACCACACAAGATCCAGATCTGAATCCGAAAATATAGCGTGAGACCTGATAGGACCCTATTTCGAAATTTAAAATATCTATATATTTAATAAATTGAGATCCAAAAATATAATGTGGCACTCAAACTTGGATCTTGACCTGATAAGACCCGGACCTGAACCCAAATAGTGTTTGGATCCAAGATCTTGACCAAGTCCCGACCCACCAATTTCAATTTTTAAACCCACATTTGGACTGTTGTTGGGTCTACCTGTTGGATCCCGGGTGAGGTCTGGGTCTATTGCTAGAGTGGCAACCGGCCGGGACACCCTTAGCCTTCACAACCCCAAACGTTGCAAAAACAAAGAAAGAAAGAGGAATGGACTGGCTAGACAAAACCAGGATGGTATGGCCCCTAGCCCAACCATATCGTGGCAGCTTGTGGCTTAGGAACTTTTTCGTTCTTTTTTTTTTCTCTTTTTTTTTTTTTTTTTGAGTTTGGCCTAAATCAGGGGCCATTGCATGCTCTAAGTTTTTAATCTCATAATTAACCTTTAATCATTCATTTAGATGGTAATTGAATAGATAAATGCGTGATCTAGAACATTATCATTGTCAAAACATTTTTTCAACTAATTGGAGTCGATGAAATTTTGATAAAATTTTACATTCATTGTCTATCTAATACAATCCAACTCCTTTACACGAGCATGAAATGGGTTAAGAAAAAGTTTAAGATCCCTACCCTTCTTAGACCAAAATGTATGATCCAGATGATAGGGAGTAACAATAGGGGTGCCGATGGACTCAGACTCAACCTGAAGCCCGCCAAGTATACCTGTATGGGTCCAATATTTGGACCCAATGGGTCGAGTCCTAGTCTAAAACCTAGACCCGAACACTATTCTAGTCCGGGTCCGAGTCCGGGTTCGGTTGGACCCGACCTGTACCTATAAATTGTTGGAGATAAAATATTTCAAACCCTATTCATTTTGGTGTATTAGGTGTATACAATAAGAATTCATAATCATCTTTGGCTATTAAACAATAAATAAGAAAGCTTGAAATCAAATAGCAGATTGTTACCTTGTTGTCAATAATTTGAGTATACGATGGTAAAGAAAAAAACTCATAATGAGAGCGGCAATTAACCCGACCAGGCCCAAAACTCAACGGGATAAACCTGAGACCCGATGGGTATGGGTATGGGTCCAATTTTGGACTCGACAGGTCTCGTACGAATCCAAAACCTAGACACGAATGCATTTCGGTCCGGGTCTGAGTTCAACCGGACCCCACCCATACCCGACCTGTTGCCAACCCGAAGTACTAAGGTAGGGGTAGTTTTGTCATTGAGTAAATCAGGGTAAAAGCATGTCATTGATTAAAATAACATTGGGTTTGATATGTTTGAGGAAAGGATATTTAGAAGATTGTGTCGTACCCTATTAAAAGTCGCAAATCAGACATTATTTCATTAATCAACCAATTGAGAAACATAAAGAAATCGTTAATTTTTGGCATGATAAGACTGAGATACTCGAGTTTTTAAGCGGACCAAAATGCCCCACAAGTACGTGTACGGACGTAATGTAGTATTATTTTATGTGACCCTCAATTAGAACCTTATTATCATTTTTTCTATGGCATAATGCAGAAGGACTGACATACCCTTGCCTTGAGCATTTAAACTCTCCCAGTTGTCCCTTATCGAATCGGCTAGGTTGGCCACGGGTCGGGTATGAGTCCGGGCCCAAGCAGACCCAATTTCCTCGAATTTGGCCATGCACTAGAAAATATAGTATCGGACCGATACCCAATCAAAGCTAATCCAAAAATTAAAGGGATTATATATAATGAGGCAATTTATTTTTGATACAAGATAGTCATAATTCTTTACAATCATTTGATCTGGAATTTGATAGCTTGAATGTTTCACAAAGTTCGAAAAAATATTTTTTGAAGTTTGAGATTGAACAATGAAATAATTGCAATCACTCAATTTCACATCCAATGGTCAATATTAATGTGACCATTTTGTGTCAAAGATAAATAGTCTCATTTTACATTTTCCCAAAATTAAAATATTTATATATTTAACTATAGAAAAAGTTTACATAGAACCGAAGCTCCAAACAATCTAATTAGAGCCCACCTAAAAAATTTCACAATAAGAGGTCGTTTTGATGCCCAAATATCCTCAAATTGATCATCACGACATCAAGATGCTTGGACATGAAAAAAAAAATGGATTTCAAGTTTTGGAAGAGTGCATCTTATAATACATTTTTGGACCATCAATTTTTAATATTTTTATCGATATGTCCGAACTACACTGTTTTTTAAGCTTTAAATTTTATAATTAAAGATGAAAATATATTTTAAGGCTATCACATAGATTTCCAATATTAAAAATCATATTTCTCAACACTATTTGAAGATGCGTTTTACTATGATTGTTTAGAGCCTCGGCTCTATACAAACCACCCCCTCTAACTATATTTAAATAGGTTGTGGTTTCCATAAGGTTGCAACCTTAACAATCCATTTAAGGTGCACCTTCAAAATTTATCATAACATATAATTTTGATGTAAAATATTCTTAAGATTTTCTCTATGGTGCGGTTTGTACAGAGCCGAGGCTCTAAACGATCAAATTAGAGCCTACCTTCAAATAGTGTCGAGAAATATGGTTTTCAAAAAAGTTTGTAGTACTTTAAAACTTGATGAATGCCGGAGCCTAATCTATCCTTCCTGCTGGAATTGACGGACTCGGACTCGGTGGCTTGAGACCGACTGGGGTGAATTTGACTGGGATGAATTTGAATCAAACCAAGATTCATGGTCCATTCGAAGTTTTCAACCATTGACATGAGAGAGAGATGAGAGATTTAGTCTTGGGTAGTTTTGATTATGAGACTTTATACCATGAGACTAATTATTATTATTTTTTTTGTGGTATGAAAGCGCACAAGTACACCTAATCATTACATATTATATTCGATGACTTGGGGCATTCAGTTTTAGAAAATCTCCTTTTATTTCTTTTTTATTTTTATTTTTTTTTCTGTTTATTTTTTTAATTTCGAGTGTCAAGGACACTCTTAGAACCACCCGACATGTAATTTGACAGACAAAAATAATTATGACCTATTTATACAAATTGGATAGTGGGATCTAAGTGTCCTGAAACTCAGTATCTTGCTTTC